ATGCATAGATGAGAGAGTGCACAGCTTTACCACTCCCCCAACCCTGTTCCTCAGAGAGGATGCCCCACCAGGGACTGGTTCTCCTCGCCCATCTTTCTGGTCCCAAAATGCATCCAGGGCCCGCCTGTCTCCTGGGGGGCCCCAATGCAATGAACTTGAACATCGGTCATTGATCAATAGTCCCTTAACCCTACCAAAGGTTTCTGAGCCTCTCCCCTACTCCTCAGGGGGCTGGCCTGAGGTCACGGGACTCCCTGGGATCATCTTTATTCCCAGGAACAGGCTTCCTCAGTCCTGAAAGGGACATTTTTATAGCCCTGTGAACACAAATGCACTCCCCAGAATAGGCTCTGGGTGTGGAATCCCTCCTGTGGCTGTCATGGTCTCAGGCTGGCTGGCGATGAAATTCTACAATGGTGTTGACAATAGGGCCCTAAGCCTCGCATGAACACCCCCTTCCCTCCCACCTGCCTCTCTGTGGGATCAAAGCTGTTCCGTGAGGCTGTGTGATCCTGGGCCAGGAGCAGGGAATCAGCCTCTACTCTAAGCAAGGAGGAAGCCTCTTTGCCTGAATCCTTCTGAGGAAGGCAATCCTCCTTCAGAGGTCCCTAGCCCAGGTTCAAAGGTCGGTAGGGGCTGAGAGGTTGGCAGTGGATAGGGAAGTGGCTAGACCATAAAACCAGAGCTCCCTGTTGATGGGTTGATGGAGGGGGTCCAGGTCCACTGCCTGGTTCCCTGTCCCTCTCCTGCACCCCAGCCTGAGCTTCCCAAACTTCCACAGAAGCCCCCACCCCATGTGGGACACAGAGGACCTGCAGTAGCAGGGGGCTACAGCTAACAGGGGAGACAAGAGGCAGCTTGGGGGAGCAAGGGGGACCCCACTTCCTCAAATGTTGGAACCATCCTTAAGAAAACTTTCTCTGGACTCCTCTGGAGATCTTGGCAGATGGAAGAACTGGGGGTCCATTCAGACCCCAGTCTCTTCTCTTCCCATCTCATCTCTCCACCTGGGGGGCCTCAAATAACCTAGCTCCTCCCCTTTGACCCCAGCTTTTCCCTCACCAAATCCTCTTGCAATCCATTTCTTAATTCTGCCCCCTCAACTCTCCCTCCCTCCCCCAGGCTCTAGTCGTCACGCAAACACCAATAAGGGCAGCTTTGCTCTGTGTTAGAAGAAAGGTCTTTGGTCTGCCTAGAAATTAAGTTTGGAGCAGCCTGGGAGGGAATGGAAGAAGAGTGAGACCCAGAGAATCAATGACCACTGCCTGGGAGAGGCAAGAGAGCCCTTCTGCCGCCACAGATTCCACAAAGGGCATCACACGCCCCTCAGCATCTCATCTCTTCCAGGCCCTGTCCACCCCACCCCCACCCCAAGGCCATTCCAAGGTCCCATTCAAGACCACTGCGCAGGGGTGGCGCCAAATGACCGAAGTCATCATCGGGGCACTCACCCTTGTGTGGGTCAAGCACTTTGCGGTGTCGCGTCCCTGTTCCAAAACCAGAGACCAGGAGTAGAATGGAGGAGGGGCGGGCGCCGCTTCTGAGTGGACAGGACAAGGAGTGGGTGAGGGGGCCTCGCGCACAGGGCAAGTGGTGGCCGGGCGGGGCGGAGGACCGGGGAGAGCAGAGGATTTCAGCTGAGGGACAGGGGGAAGGTGGGGAGGGGAGGGGAGGCCCCGCCAAGGGGAGGAGCCGCCTCCAGCGTCCCGCTGTCGGGACTCCCTCCCGTCGCGGCTCCGCTATAAAACCCCGGCCGGCAGGATCGCTGCACCCGCGGCTGCCTTCTCCATGCGCGACCCCCGGCCCGGAGGCATCTTTGCTGTCGCGCAAGATGCGGATGCTGCTGGCGCTCCTGGCCCTCTCCTCCGCGCGGCCCTCGGCCGGTGCAGGTGAGCTCCCGGGCTCCGGCCGCAGGTGCCCCTCGGCGCCCCCCTCTCCCACCCCAGCAGAGGCTCCCTGAGGGCGGCCGGTGCGCGGCAGCGCGTGGGTCCCGAGTTGGGTGTGCGCCGGAGGCCGCGAGGGTGCGGGAGGACCCGGCAGCTCGCGAGCTTATGTGTGCACACGCGTGTCCGCGGCGGCTGGGAGAGTGTGTGCACGGGTGTGAGCGGTGAAGGTGTGTGCATGTGGCCCGGTGTCCCAGGGCAAGACGAGTTGGGAGTCCCTGATAAGGATGCTTCTCAGGCCGGGCGCAGTGGCTCACGCCTGTAATCCCAGCACTTTGGGAGGCCGAGGCCGGAGTATCAGCTGAGCGCAGGAGTTCGAGACCAGCCTGACCAACATGGAGAAACCCCATCTCTACCAAAAATGCAAACATTAGCCTGGAATGGTGGCGCATGCCTGTAGTCCCAGCTACTAGCGAGGCTGAGGCAGGAAAATCTCCTGAACCCGGGAGGCGGAGGTTGCACTAAGCCGAGATCGCGCCACTGCACTCCAGCCTGGTGCTCCATCTCAAAAAAAAAAAAAAAAAAAAAAAGTTGTTTCTCCGAGGAGCCTCAACGCACGCCTTTTTTTCTCACCTAGTCTCCTCCGTCTGTCCGTGGGTTTCCGTCTGTCCTTCTGGGGCTCAGCGCTGGGTGACTGCCCCGCGGCCAGAGCAGGGGCGACCACTGGGTGTGGCGGGGTCCTGGCAGCCCCTCTTCTTACCCAGGTTCCTTGCCACCGAGGGTCGCAGGCTCCCCGAGCTTCCCCAGCCCTCAGCGCTGAATTGGTAGCCTGGAGGGAGGGACCCGGAGCCCCGAGGCCCCTGCGGAGCCGGTCTTTCCGGACGGGGTGATTTTCGTTTAAAGATTAATGGTGAAGCTAATGGTGAAGCCGAGCTCTTAATTATTCCTCCAGGTGGGAAGTGGCAGGAGAGGCATGTTAATATTTGATAAGGAGCTAAAGGCGCTTCAAGTGGCTGGGCACGGGGATCCGATCCTGGAGGCACCTTCTTCCCAACCCCAGAACCCATCACGGGAGACCCCAGCTGCTAGTTCCCAGCCCAATCACCCTTCGTATGGTTCTTGGCGTCCACGCAGGCGGAAACTTCCTCTTCCAAGTCAGGTGCTGCACCCGCAAAGCCGCGGAGTGAGAGGTGAAGGTGTCCTCAGCACAGAGGAGCCAGCGTGTGCCCTCTGAAGACTGAGGGACTGGCTGAGCTGTGGTAGAGGGTCGAGGGGCATCTTGCAGTCTCTCCTCCGGGCTCCTGGAGGAAGAAAGAGAAAAGGCAGAATATGAAAACTTTTATTTGTTGGATTGGACATTGGAAACCGACTAAACAGCTAGACAGTAGAAAGTGAAATGTGCCTGGCATGGTGGCTCAGCCTGTAATCCCAGCACTTTGAGAGCCTGAGGCAGGTGGATCACGAGGTCAGGAGTTCAAGACCAGCCTGGCCAAGATGGTGAAACCCTGTCTTTATTAAAAATACAAAAATTAACTGGGGGCAGTGGCAGGTGCCTATAATCCCAGCTACTCGGGAGGAGGAGGCAGGAGAGGTTGCAGTGAGCCGAGATCTCGCCCCTGCACTCCAGCCTGGGTGACAGAGCAAGACTCTGTCACAAAAAAAAAAAAGAGAGAGAGAGAGAGAGAGAAATGCTTTGCAGTTTGGGTGCTTTGTAGCTGTGTGGTCTTGGGTAAGTCAGTTGCTTTCCCATTTGCAAAACAGGGGTAGTAATTCAGACTTCAGTGGTTTTAAGCATTCAAATAAGATGATGGGTTTAAGTGCTTAGTGCAGTGCCTGTGTGGCATGTGGCCAGGGCTCCGTGCACCAAGTTTATGGGGCTCTCCCCAAGCCTGGGGCCAGTGTCAGGAATATGTCTGAGCTCACCCCTCACACAAGCTGCGATCCCTTCCCGTGCCAGGGCTCTCTGACCGGGACCTGCCTTCCATTCATCCCATGGGGCACTCAAGGTGGAGAGGGACCAGGTTGCACATGGAGATCCCCAGAGCATCTCTGTCCATTGAGGGAGGGGGACGGGAGAGGATATTTAGTCCCCTTCACAGCCCCAGATCCCCCCTGGCTGGGAGCTGCTGAGACTTTGCCCAGGACACACTTGGGTTGTGCTGAGCTGTTTTTCAGGATTATCTCCTGTCCCTCAGAGGGGGAGGTGGGGTGAGCAAGGTCCATTAGAGAGGCTTCTTCAGCCATCTTGAAACAAGGGGGAGGGGTAAGGGGTCATTCAGGGTGGGGGGCAGTAGCTGGGTGACAGGCAGTGCTGGCTGATGGGCTATGGGCTTTCGGTTTCTCACCTTTGGTCAGGGTGGATGGACAAGGTAGGATGTGGCACTGGGCACTGAGACCCATGGGTAAGTAGCCCCTCTCCTTCCCAGGCCCTCTTGGGAGTGGCTGGGGACAGTGGGCTGGTACTTATCTGCAAGGGTGGCGCTCTTGTTCAACGAGGACAGGAACCTGAGTGGTGGGTGCTCTTGCCACCAGCACCCCACCCTCACTCCACGGACATGGACTTGACCCCTGGCCTTGGCCTCTCCACCATCATGTTTTCCCGGCTGCTGCTTCCTGAAGAAGGTAGTTACAAGCGCAGTCAGCCAAGCAGGTCAAAAGTCTCTATGATTAAGACAGTGGATCAGAGGTCACCACTACAAACCTAGGAGCTGCAGCCAGAGCCAGGGAAGAGCAAATTCCTAAGAAAAGCTAAGCCTGGACCAGAGAGGCCCCAGGGAGGCTGTGAGGAGGGTTGCAGGGGCTCCATCCTTCAGAGCTGGCTCTTGTGGATGCTGGCTTAAGGGAGGCTTCTGGAATATCTGACCCTGGGGCCTCTCCAGTCAGAGGAGAGGCCAGCTCAACCTTCAAAACCCCTTCTGCCTTCAGGACCTCTGCAGGCCAGGACATGGGAGGATTATGTCAAGGAACTGTCGTGGTGCAAATGCTCTCTGATTTATTATCTCCTCAGTCACCAGCACTGGGACTTTGGTGGTGCACCTGTCAGAGGCATTGGAACCAGAGCAATTCCGATTTGCTGGGCTGCATTCTCAGACAGTTCTAGCCTCTAAGTGTTTAGGGTTAAGGGAACAAATTAATCATGTTTCCTAAACAGACCCAGGCTTGGGAAGGTCCAGATACCCCGATATCTGGAGAGCAAAAGCATTCCTAATTTTGATTTCAAAATAATAATATCGATTCTTGCATAATAATTAAGAAAATTAACCCTTTATCACAAACCCTAGTAGAGAGCACATCTCCCCACATAGACAAGCATTGTACCTCGGGCTGACGCGTTCCTCCTCTGACTTTAGGGAAAGTCCTACTCTGTCTATAGGTAGCTGTCCTTTCACCACTGTACTTCTTAATAAACTTGCTTTTGCTTTGCACTGCGGACTCGCTCTGAATTGTTTCTTGTGTGAGAGCCCAGAACCCTCTCTTGGGGTCTGGATCGGGACCGCTTTCCTGTAACATGCCTCTGTCAGAGGGAGATTGTGGGGCTCAGAATTTCGGCTAACTCTCCTGTGGAGACTGAGCAAAGGCAGAGTGGGAGCTGGAGGCCTCGGAGCTCCGCCCCACTGTGGGAGGGGCTTGGGTGGTGAGAGGCCACTGCCCTCTGCAGATTCACCCTCTTGGGAGTGGCCCAGGTACAGCGACTCCCAGGGTCAGCGGAGCCCGGACTGGGGCTGGGGATGGGACTTCAGGGGGAAGACACTGCAGCTCTGAAAAAGGCAATGCCAGCAGGGCAGGAGAGGTGGTGATCAGTGCTGGGAAACTCCACACCCCAAAGTGGTTTCTCTCGGCCAGTTACTTCTCCCGGGGATGCTCCATCATCGCTCCCTCCCCATCCTGTCCCCATTCCAGGGACTCCACCCCTGGCTCAGGCTACAAGGAGATGGGATTGTGGGGGCAGCCCAGGCAAGAAGGGAGAGGGCGGATGAGCTCAGAGGCCTCAGCTTTGGCTGAGTGGGAACCGTGCTTTTCTTAGGAATTTCCTCATCCTGAGTTCTTTCCAAGTCACTTCATTTCTCTCCTCTCTCGGCCCCTCCTTGGCTTTGGCCATCTGCTCCCGATAGGAGGCCCACCAGAGGGAGGGAGGCGGGTGGGGAGGGGGAGGGGAAGGAGTTGTTGATGGGATTTGACTAAGTGCCGCGCTGCCTGAAACTCATTTAATCCTCCCCACGGCCCCAAGAGGCGTGTACGTTTATCCCATGTTACAGATGATACAACTGAGGCTCAGAGAGATTAAGGGACTTGCCCCCAAACCCATCTACGCCTGCTGAGCGGCTCAGCCAGAATTCTAGCTCTGGATGAGATGCCGTGTTCACCCTGCTGGTGTAGCCTTTAAAAAAAATTAATAGGCTTTATTTTTAGAGCAATTTTAGGCTCACATAAAAATTCAGTAGGAAGTACAGAGGGTTCCCATAGGCCCCTTATGCCCTGCACACATTTTCCCCTTTTACTAACATCTTGCATCCATGTGGGACATTTGGGGTATAGCTTTTTTTTTAGATACTGGGTTCTACTGCCCTGAGGCAGAACCCTCAGCCTGGCCCCAAAGCCCAGTACTGTGTGGTTGTGGGGCAGGGGAGAAAGCCTAGCTACTTTCCTCTTTGCAGGAGCTGTGAGAGGCTAGCCAAGAAGGGATCTTGGTAACACATGGGGAGGCCTTCTGGGGGAGGGACCGCCTAATCTCCTCCCCCATCTTGTATCTGGACGGATCTGGGAAGGCTGCCGGCTGAACCTGATGCTATTGTCCTAGGAGCAGAGGCTGGGCCAGTCCTCCTTTTCCCCTCTCCCCAGAGTCACCCTTCCAGGTTTGAGGTGGGAGAGGTAAGCAGGGAGAAGGTGGCTGGATGGAGTATCCAGGCCAATCCCACTTTAGAGCAGTGACCTCAGGGGATCCCAGGAGAGTCCCTGGCTTCTTGGCCTGGCCCTGCCTGGAGAACAGAGCCCTAGGCCAGCTGACTTGTTTCTCGGCCCCTGTTGATTGAGTCTCTTTCCCTGGGCCCTCCTCAGTCCTACAGTCAGGATCACTCCATCCCCGCCCAAGGGAGGGCTCCAACTCCAGGGGGAGGCCCAGCCTCTGATCCTCCTGTGTGTGTGTGTGTGTAACAAGATACACTGACACACGCGCACACACTTCACACCCTTCCTCTCTGCTCCAGACTCACACTGGTGCTACGAGATTCAAGCCGAGGCCTCCAACTACACCTGCTTGGGTGAGTACAGCCAGGCCGGGGCAGCTCTTTCTGCATGGCAGGCACCACACAGGCCGAAACGGAGACCCGGGAAGTGTGGGAAGGACGAGGGGTGATGGTGGCCTCCCAGGCAGATATCAGCTCCCAGCACACCCACATACACATACACACACCCCACACACAACACACAAACACACACACATATACACAAACACCCACACACAACACACAAGCACACACACTCACACAAATACACAAACACACACAACACTAGCACACACAAACACACACTAACAAGACACTCTCACACACAAACCCTCTCACACTCACACAGACTCACCCTCTCCTGTCCTGGTGCTCAGGGACCAGGGAGCATAGAGTGACCCGAGTCTTCACTGGCACCTACTGTCAGCAAGAGGACATGTTCCCTATGGAATGAATTGGCAGCAGCATTAAAAGAGAAAGGCATTTTGCTGTTTCCCATGACAAACCTGGGAGTTGGTTCTATCCCAGGGACACCCCTAACAGGGGGCCTGAGCAATGGTCCTTTATGCTTTTGTTCGAATGCTGACCAATTTCCCTGCGGTCTGCTGTGACTGAGCAGCGCTGCCTGCTCCTGACCCTGGCCCACCTGGTGTTGGGGGTCATCAGGGTTTGGGAAACAGGCTCCCCCAGGGTTACTCCTCTCCCTGCCGTTGCTCAGATGGGGCTCAGTGCCCTTCAGCAGCAGCCCCCCAGAGGGTCCCACACCACTGCTTCCAAAGCCCTCTCCAGCCACCTCCTTTAAACTCTCTGACATCCTCGGAGCGGGCCATCTCTGCGGTTCCCGTTTGACATTTGGGAAGCCCGGGCTTGGAGATGTGCACCACATCATGAAGTTGTCCCTACCCCGGAGCTCACAGCCACCAGTTGGTGACCCTGTTCCCACCATGTCCCACACCAGGGCTAGACTCCCCAGCCTTGCATGTGTGTGTCTGTGGAGGAGGAGGAGGGCGCAGGGTGAGGGCAGGGTTCTGCACTGAGCATCCGGGCAACACAGCTTTCAGGCCATCCCAGAGCGTTGCTGTGTGGGAGCCAAGTGGGTGGACCTGACTTCAGTGGGGTGCTGCGGGCTACCTTGGTGACAGGCGTCCCTGACTCTCAGCCCACCCTGTCTCCCTGCTTAGGGCCAGGCAAGTGGGGTGGAAGCTGCCAGAAGGACCGCCAATCCCCCATCAACATCGTCACTGCCAAGGCAGAGGTGGACGAAAAACTGGGACGCTTCTTCTTCTCTGGCTATGATAAGAAGCAAAAATGGACCGTCCAAAATAACGGGCACTCAGGTGGGCTGGACGGAGGCCCTGGGCAGACCTGGGCACGCGAGCTCCCTGAGGACTGGGAGGGTGTGCCAGGCCCAGACCCATCTGTGCTGTGAGGGGGCTGAAAACTCCCATGGGGGAGGACAGCTTCGTAGAGGAGGGAGCATTCTAGTGTGTTTTCAGTATTTTCATCAGACCAGTCTGGGATGGGGGAAGGACATGCTCCCGGAAGAAGGACAAGTGCAGAGGCATGGAATAGCCACTCAGAGAACTGCCAGGAGCTCTGCGTGGATGAAGGACAGTGAAGCTAGGAGGAGCCCAAAAAGGCCCAGGGGCAGCTGGGCTGGGGCCCAGGGGCAGGTCACCCAGGCCTCAGGAGTTTGGACATTACCCCGAGGACACCAGGGCACCACGGAAGAGTTGGACGCAGAGGAGGCACCAGGGCAGAGCTGCAGTTTGGGGCAGTGGGGAGTACAGCAGAGAGGGAGACAGGCAGGGAGGCCAGGGAAAAGTCTGGGGCTGTCCCACCACACTCCACCCCACCCCTGCAGGCCAGGACTGGAGCCCATGAAGGGTGGGAGGCAGGAGAGAATGTCCCGTCTGGGTGAAGCTGGGATGAGGGGTTGGAAGAGGCTGAGGGAGGCCATTTCAAGGACTCTGTCCCTCTTGTTCCACCAGTGATGGTGCTGCTGGGGAATGAGGCCAGCATTTCTGGAGGAGGACTGCCTGCCCGGTACCAGGCCACACAGCTGCACCTGCACTGGTCCAAGTGGCTGGATGAGGGCTCGGAGCACAGCCTCGACGGGGAGCGCTTTGCCATGGAGGTGAGGGCCCCTTCCCTACTGGGACCTTGTCTGGGCTCTGGGCATGCACCTGCCTTGGGCAAGCAGGGTAGCCAGGCCCCTCACAGGTCCCCTCTCCACCCTCCACCCCCGCCAGGTGCACATAGTACATGAGAAAGAGAAGGGGACATCGAGGAACGTGAAAGAGGCCCAGGACCCTGGAGACGAGATTGCAGTGCTGGCCTTTCTGGTGGAGGTGGGACCCCCGTCGCCCACTTCCCAGGGAACCCGGGGCTGAGAGCTGCTGCTTAGGAGCCAGAGACCTGAGACTCCAGCAAGGCAGGGGGTGCGGGGAGGCTCTAGCTTCCACCTCTGTTTCTGGGTGGGTTGCATGTCCCACGGCCAGGTAGGGAGCCCAGAGCCTCAATCCCAGAAGCTGCCTGGCCTTCTGTCCCCAGATCGGGAGAATGAACTGACCACCACCACCAGCTCCCTGTGACCTTCTCAAGACCCTTTCCTCCCTTTCCAGGCTGGACCCCAGGTGAATGAGGGCTTCCGGCCGCTGGTGGAGGCACTGTCTAATATCCCCAAACCTGGTGAGTCAGCATGGTGGAGGAGGGCAAGGGGTGAGGAGGGGGATGCATCCCACAAAGGAAGGGGTGGGTGTTCAGGGAGCTGGGCTCTCAGAATGCAGGGGAAGAAGGGCTCCTTCTCCTACCCTCACTGACAGTGTCCTCTGCCCCCATCCCAGAGACGAACACCATGATGGCAGAGAGCAGCCTGCTGGACCTACTCCCCAAGGAGGACAAACTGAAGCACTACTTCCGCTACCTGGGCTCGCTCACCACGCCGGCCTGTGATGAGGAGGTGGTCTGGACTGTGTTCCAGGAGCCTATTCAGCTCCACAGAGAACAGGTGTGCAGGGCTCCCACTTCCTGGCTCCCCAGAAATCATCCCTCTGCCCTCAGAGGTCCCTCGGGGTATGGGTGGGGAGCCCAGGGAACTGAAGTCCATTGTTAATCATGGACATTCACTGAAGACAGGCAAGAGAGGCCTGAGCCGTTCCATCGCCGGACCGGACTGGTGGCTGGACGGGAGGCCGGGGAAGGTGGAGTCAGAAGAGGCTTCCAGGCTGAAATCTGAATAGGTGGGAGTTGGTCCAGTGAGGGCAGAGGCAGTGTCCTGGGAAGAGGTGTCTGCCAGCGGCAGGGTCTGAGGTTGGCCTGGAGTTGCTTGGAGGCAGCAGGAAATAATGCGTTCATTGAGCAAATGGTGCTGGAGTTTCTGCAATGAACTAGAACAAGGCTCTGGGGAGGCAGCAGTGAGCCCAAAGGGCCCAAATCCCTGCCCTTGAGCTACTTTGATTCCAAAACAGTGGTTCTCAAAGAGCAGACCTTGAACCAGAGGAGTCAACATCATCACCCGGGGAATTTGCTAGAAATGCTAATCCTCAGAGCTACTGAATAGGGAACTCTGGGCGTGGAGCCCAGGCATCTGGGGCCCAACAAGCCCGCCCCACAGCTGATGCTAATACATGCTCAAGTTTGAGAGCCACTGTCCTGTAGTAACAGTGACAAGAGAAGCAGGCATTGGGACCCCCTGGGGTGTGAGTGAAAGGAAGCCCATGGGTGCTTAGCCCCACCCCTGCCACGTACCTCATTTCCATCCCTTATTATCATCTTCACGACCACCTTGAGAGCCAGGGGTTCAGAGCCCCTCTTTCCTAATGAGTGCTCCTGGGACACGACGGGGTGCCTGCCTGAGGTCACCTGGCTGGGGGTGCAGCTTCCCCGGCCACACCCGCTGAGCCCCTTTGCTTCTTCCGCAGATCCTGGCATTCTCTCAGAAGCTGTTCTACGACAAGGACCAGAAACTGAACATGGCAGAAAATGTCAGGCCCAAGCAGCGGCGGGGACAGCGCACAGTGTTCAAGTCCGGGGCCCCGCGTCAGCCACTGCCCTGGGCCCTGCCTGCCCTGCTGGGTCCCACGCTGGCCTGGCTGCTGGCCAGCTTACTGCGATGATGGCGCCCTTCTGCACCCAGCCTCTGCAGTGCCTCAGCTCTCCAAGTCCCAGGCTTCCAGTCCTTAGGCGCCCCAGGTGGGACTTTAGGCATGATTAAAATATGGACATATTTTTGGAGAAACCTTTCTCAAGTCTGTTTTTAGCCTCCCACAACTACCCCACCCTGTTCCCCTCCACCCACCCCTGTTCCCGGGGAGGGGCTTTAAGGCCAGGAGATTTCTCCCAAGCAGATACTACCGGTGTCCCCACTCCTGGTCTGTGTGAATTCCATGTCTATACCCCACTCCCTTCTACCCAGACCTGGGCCTTGGAGAGATACTGAAGGTACGTCAGAGCTTCATCACAGCGGAAGCTAGAAGAGTTCCAACCTAATCTCTTCATCACATAGAGGGGGAAACAAGCTGAGAAGGAAGACGGGGGGCCGGGCCTGGTGGTTCCCGCCTGTAATCGAGGACTTTGCAAGGCAGAGGCAGAGGCAGGTGAATTGCTTGAGCCCTAGAGTTCAAGACTAGCCTAGGCAACATGGTGGAAACCCTGTCACTATAAAAAATACAAAAATTAGGCCGGTCTCAGTGGCTCATGCCTGGAATCCCAGCACTTTGGGAGGCCAAGGTGGGTGGATCATGAAGTTAGGAGTTCAAGACCAGCCTGGCCAACACGGTGAAACCCCATCTCTATTAAAAATACAAAAACTGGGCCGGGTGCGGTGGCTCACGCCTGTAATCCCAGCACTTTGGGAGGCCGAGGCGGGTGGATCACGAGGTCAACAGATCAAGACCATCCTGGTCAACACGGTGAAACCCTGTCTCTACTAAAACTACAAAAAATGAGCTGGGCATGGTGGCGCGTGCCTGTAATCCCAGCTACTCAGGAGGCTGAGGCAGGAGAATTGCCTGAACCCAGGAGGCGGAGGTTGCGGTGAGCCGAGATCGTGCCATTGCACTCCAGCCTGGGTAACAAGAGCGAAACTCTGTCTCAAAAAAAAAAAAAAAACAAAAACTGGCCGGGCATGGTGGCACACACCTGTAATCCCAGCTACTCAGGAGGCTGAGGCAGGAGGATCGCTTGAACCCAGGAAGCAGAGGTTGCAGTGAACTGAGATCATGCCATTGCACTCCAGCCTGAGCGGCAGAGTGAGATTCCGTTTCAAAAACAAAAACAAAAATTAACCAGTGTGATGTTACATACTTGTAACTTCAGCTACTCAGGAGGTCCTGCCTCTTGAACCCAGGAGGCAGAGGAGGCAGTGAGCTGAGATTGCGCCACTGCACTCCAGCCTGGGCGACATAGCAAGAGAGAAGAGGCTGCTCGGCTGGCTGGAGGCCCTGTACTGAGGCTAGGGCAGGGCCGACTGCACCCCCAGCCCTGTGCGTTCTCCCCTGTGCTGGGGTGAAGGGGTGTCCTGTATGGGGACGGCCTAGGCAAGGTGGGCAACAGGAAGTTCATTTGTTTGCTCAAGTACTTCTTGAGCATTTATGCTCTAGGCACTGGGGATATGGCAGGGAATAAAAGACAAAAATGCCTGCCCTCCTGGAGTTCACAGTCCACTGGAGAGAGCCCATAAATAAAGCAGGCACGTTGTCTAGTAGGTTAGGAGGCAGTGAGTGCATGGGAGAAAGAGAACTCAGGGAAGGGCCGGGCGCAGTGGCTCACGCCTGTAACCCCAGCACTTTCCGAGGCCAAGGCAGGTGGAGGTCAGGGGTTTGAGACCAGCCTGCCCAACATGGCAAAACCCTGTCTCTACTAAAAATACAAACATTAGCTGGGCAGGTGGTGGGCGGGTGCCTCTAATTCCAGCTACTCAGGAGGCCGGAGAATTGAGAGGGAGGTTGCAGTGAGCTGAGATTGCACCACTGCTCTCCAACCTGGGCGACAGAAAGACTTCATCTCAAAAAGAGACAGAGAGAGAGAATTCAGAGCAGGGAAGGTGGGAGTCCATGGGGGAAGGGGAGGCTGGGAGGAGGCCAGGGAAGGGGGCCTCTGGAGGGTGGGGAGCTGCAGAGGTGAGGGCAGAATGCAGGGACAGCTCAGAGGTGCCGCAGTGCGCAGGACTGATCGGCTGGTCAGCAGTGATTTTGTGAAGGAGAGCTTATGGGGGTGTCCCAATGTTGTGGGGCCTGGTCCCTCGGGAGCTGTCAGAAAGGTCCCCACCACCACCGGGATTTCATCTCTAATGGGTTGTTTTCCCTCCTGGGGCCCTAGGAGGAAGTGGAGGGAGTGAGACCAGGAAAAGGCCAGGGGAGGAGGTCTAGGACACCAGGATAAGAAAGAAAGAAGGGGACCCATGGGGCCCCCAAGCCAGGTCAGGCCCCAGGTGCCAGGAACTGAGGACCCGAAGCTCAGACTTCACCATTGGGAGCAGGTCTGAATTTTGGAATTCATGAGCCTTGGAGCAGGGCTTGCTGCATGAATAGCAGACCCAGGCTTCCTTGGCTGGGTGAGGGCCCCTCTAGCAGGCTGAAAGCCTGGAGGTAGAGAGTCCTCACCGGAAGGTGTGCCGCCAGGAGGGCACTGAGGGATTTTGTCACCTGGTCCTGGCAGCCCTCACTGGCTGTGGGAGGGGAGCTGATGGGAGGAGGTGACCACTAAGCCTTCTCCCACCCTGTGCCCCTCACACCCGGCAACCCCCAGTGAGCCCAGGGAGAAGCCAGAGGGCTGCTCCCCTCCCTTCTCCCTTCCCCTCCCTTTTCCCTTTTGTGACCAAAAATAAGTCCCTCCTCCCTTCCCTGGTGACCACGCAGCTGTGGGGGAGGGGTGGTATTACTGTTGCCAGGGCAACTGGAGGCCGCCAGTCAGCAGGGGGTGTGTGGACACCGAACCTGGAGCCTGTACTCCTTTGGTTCCCACACAGACTGCGGGGGACCTAAGCTGCCCCCCAAGGCTCAGGGCTGTGAGGTCAGAACAAATGGCCCCTCCCCACCCCCATCCGTGCCCTCCAGGCAACCTTAGTGAATAATGTGGCAGCAGGACCAGGAAGTCCTGGCCTCTCCCACCTAAGGCAGAAGGCGATTGACCCTCCCCGTCCCCTGGTCCCCAATCATAAACCTGGCCAGCAGGAGCCAGAACCGGCACAGCTTGTTCAGGGCCTGGGGCTCTGGCCACCTCCCATGTCCTGCCTGCCCTCCGTGGGTCCCAGAGGCCACAGCAGGTGCTGCCAGCCCTTGACTCCTGGCCAAGTCACCAGAGCCAGCTACCACAGACGTGGGCAGCCCACCCCGGGCACCAGCCCCGCCTCAGAGGCTGAGGCTGACGGCGTTCCTTCTTGTGAACATGTGTGTGTCATGAAGAGCTTCCTGTTCTTAGTCAATTCACTCTCCGAGCCGCCCCCCGACACCCTCCACAGACCCCCACGCTGGAGATGGTGGCTCTGAGCTGCCTGTGGCCCACCTTGCCTGGCTTCTGAGACAGTTCCCTCTGAGGGCGAGGAAGGTCCCGAGAACCCCCTTATTCACAAAGAGAGTCCGGCCTGGCCCCCGAGCCCTCCTATCATTCACTTCTGATGCCCCATGGGTGACTGCATGGGGGTACGTGTGCGTGTACACACACACACACACACACACACGGCTTTCACTGTAGCTGGCCAGGCCTGGGAAAGGCTCACAGGCTGATGGTTTTGTCTACAACCTGACTTCTCTGAGGGTCACTGGCTGGCACCCAGCACAGCATGAAGCACGTTTGTTGGGTGCCAACTGGTGGCAGGTGGGGGCATGCTGCAATCCCACTGGGGTGGTGTTATCCCTCCCATGGCGTGGACGAGGAAGCCGAGGCTCAGAGAGGGACCGGGGCACCTGTCAGAACCTGGGGCCACTCCCCTCCTTGGCTCCCCTGCCCAGCTCTCTTTTGGATGAGCCATCCGTGTCCAGGGGGAGGGTGGGGGTGGCAGCACCCTGTCCCACCCGTCTCTGCCTGTTGCTGTCCATCCCCAGTGGGCCATCTCTTGGCCCCCTGTTTAGATTCTGCAGCCGGGTGGGAGCCGGGGCTAAAAATATTCCCCATGTGTTTAGATGATTCTTGGAAAATAAACTTTCCCATCTTGGCTCTTGGTTTGCACACTTGCTGGCCCTGCTTCCTGTGGCTCTGATCTGACAATGTGGGGGAGGGTGGAGGAAGGTGGGGCAGAGGAGGGTCTACAGGGGCCCAGAGTTGTGGGGGCAGTGTGGACGCCAGCCCATGGTTGTGCAGGCTGCCTTGTCTCAAAACTCCAGGGGGCACCTAGACAGACACCACCTTGTGACCGGTGCCCTCAGGGCGGTGCGACCCCGAGGCTCCGAGCCTGTGTGTGTGTTGGGGTGGGAAGAGGCAAGGAGGCAGGTGGCCCCATGGACACAGAGGCTCACTCCCTGCTCTGAGCCTCTGTTCATCCATCAGCAAAAGGGGCTACTCTTAGTCCGCCCGTCTAACTGGGTCTAGCTGTCTCTGGGCTCCTGCTGTCCCCGGTGACCTCAGGAAGAAGCCAGGCCGATCTCTGAGGCTGGGGAACTGTTGCCGCACCTCGCACTACACACATCCTAGCGGCTCTGTTTGTTTATCTGAGAGGGGACAAAGGCATTCTTTCCCCTAGGGACGAAGGACGATGTCCAAGGCCCAGGGTGGGGCTTCCTTTGGAGAAGAGCTGCCTGCTAGACAGAAGAGTCAGTTCCTTCCGCATAGCCCTGGGCAGGACACGCAGGAGACTCCTCAGGTTGTTCCAAGTGTCAGCCACGGCAAGGCCAGAAGGACAGGAAGAGGGGCAGGGGAGCAGGACACAGGGAAGGGGTATGGGTGCATTCTGGAACAAGATTTCATCTTCCATCAGGAG